GGTGGAGGCTCTCCCTGGGCCCGGGAGGGGGCCCGGAGGAGGACGCAGGAAGGCGTTTCCAGCGCCCGCTTGCCCGCCCGCTGGGCTCAGGCGCCGGGATGCAGCCAAAACCCCTGGGATGCTCCGAGGGACCGAGGTGCCGCCGAGGGCGCCCGGTGTCTGCGTCCGCGCCTGCAGAGCGGCGCCCCAGGTGCCGAGTCCCAGGGCTAGTGCCGCCGCCGCAGTCCCGAGCCCAGGCTGAATGTGGCCCAGCCGTGGTGGCCGCCACTTCTGCGTCTGCGACTGCAGGCGGCGGAGCCCGGGCCCTGAGCACAGTCAGCTGATGGCCGATGACGTCAGGCTCTGGGCGCTTTTGCGCTCTGCTCCCGTGAAGCCTAAATGACCCGCCTCGCCCTCCGCCCCTCTGCCCTCGGAGCAGCGGAGCGAGCGATGTCCCCTGCCCGGGCCTAGACAGGCTCCATCCTACCGACTGCTTAGGGCAAGACTAGCTCTCGGTGGCCAGCTACGTATATCCGTGCCACCGTGTCCCAGAAATTCTTTTCTTGTTAAATCTTCCTTTTCCACGCACAGGATTTTGGTTTGCACGCAACACGGGCCTTAACACGGAGAATCCCAGAAGCGGGAAGAAGCCTGTAACGTTTTTCCACATCCCCGACCAGTAGATTTCTGGATGAACACATCCTGGGAATGACCCCTTGGACGCTAGTCCCTTAGAGGTGTATTCTCCCACCCCCAAGAAAGGCAACCACAGTAAACACTCAATTTTAAATAGAAGGAAGGGTGATTCTATTTTTAACCCAGTTGGTAGATTAATTAATTTAACTGTAAAGGTCTCCCAGAGTAGTGGGCCCAGAAGTTAGGGCCAAAGTACCTCTCGCCGCCCCCCCCCCACCCCCCAACAACAACTACTCCGTTTTGTAGTTGCCTAGATCTTAATGAAGCCATCCCAGGAATGACATCCCTGAGAAGGGAATGCAGCTTGCCTCTTCCTACATTCCATGCAGGATGTAGGACCCAGCAGCCTCGCCAGCCTCGCCAGCTGTATTGAAGTTTCTTAACTAGAGGAGCGAGAGCGGACTGGGCCTGGGCTGGGAGGGGAGGGAGGCAGGTTCCTGTCGACCCCAGAGGAGGTGTGTGTGGAGCTGTGTTCTCTCTCTGTGGGCATAGCCCCAAGTCGCCTGTGCTAATGACCATATTAGTCAACTTGGCAGAGGAAGACACCTCTCTATTTCCCCAATTCTTCCTCCTTGGGCGCCTGAGAACCCAGCCTGAACACAGGAGGGGCGGGCTGCAGATGGAACTTTCCTATGAAAATCTTCCTCCTGGACACATCCCAGGATGATTTATTTATTCAGCAGCAGAAAGAGGCGTGCCAAGGAGGGGGAGAGTGGACCCAGTCAGATGAAATGAGTCAGGCTGGTGGAGAAGCAGAGCATGCCACAGAAAGAAACTCAGAGGGTTTCATGAATCAGAGGTTGAAACCAATGTGTCAGGGAGGAAGCGCTGGGTCTGGTCAGCTGACCTCTGAGCTCTCCTTTGCTGTTGGTGTTGTTAGAACAAGTTGTTTTACAATAAGAGCATGGATGACACAGTTAGATCCAAATGTTATTCTTCTTGTTGGGATGACACAGTGCCCTTCAGCCCCCAACTCATTCTGCTTTTTAAATGACAGCATGGGCTCAGCACACATATTCAGAGGCTTTGGGGGACATACAGACCTCCAAGTGATGATCACTTAAAAGGAGAGATGCCAACCACTGCTTTGAGGGCACATGGACTTCTCATCAGGCTTCCCTTTATTTCCGCATTATTATGGCCAGGGCTCTGCTCTGTTCCAGGGACAGGTTTTGCCATCTTGCTGCCTTTTGTACCCAGACCCTTCTCCATTTTCCTCCCCCCAAACACCACCCACCTCATTCTTCAAAGCCTTAGCAGTGTCCCCTGCAGGAAGCTTTTCCTGATCCCCCCAGTGAAATTGACTTCCTTCTCTGTTGTCCAATAGTCTGTTCTGTGTACTTGTAGAATGGCCCTCACAAGGATCTGCTTACCCATTTGTGTCTCACCCCTCCCCATGAATCTCTCCTGAAGGGTGAAACCCTCCTTTAAGATCTTTATAAATATCACCTTTATTCATCCAGCAACTCTCTGAGTTAGATCCTTTTCTACTTCTTCTTATTCCCATTTTACTGACTAGGATACTGAGGCTCCAGGTGGCTAAGTAACTTATCCAGGTTCTTTCAATTAATAAACAACATAATTCCATCACCTAGATTTGGATCGTATAAATCTAGCATTTGTGAGCTTAATAAAAATGCTGCCACAAGCAGTCAACCAATGTTGACCTAATTTAAATAGAAGATGGAAATGAAAATGTCAAATATATTTTGAGAGTCCACATGCCAATGAAATAAGAGACTTCTGAGATATTTCAGCTTTGGGAAGCCTGATAGGATGACTGAATGGCAGAGAAAGGGAGCAGAACTCATTCTTAGAATAGAGGGTGTCTGTTTGCTCTGTTCAAGATGTAGGCACTATTTCTACAGTTTGTGAAAAAGCAGATTTTCACATATTGGGTTTAACCAAAATAATGGATTGGGTCTGCTTTTCTTCCTGTGGGGGGTGGTTATGGGGAAATACCCTTTTGCCTCATTGGAAACCAATGTATTTGTTTTGTGATGTTACTGAATACCACCGGCCACATTTACGGCAGATATGTTCAAGAAAAGGACATTTGTTTTCCCCTCGGTTGCATCTTTGACTTCCTAGGTCAACAATATTAATATGGTGATTCAAATTTTGTAAGAGCTGTGCCTTCTGCAAAAGACCAGTAGGAACCCTGATGCTCACCGAAGACATGAAATATTCACATGTCAAAGAAAAGATGGACTCAGTTCAGGAAGGGGACCTGAAACCAGAGGGATCCTGTTTCCAAAGGGAAGGAGGGTGTTGGTGACAAGGCAGCTTCCAGGGCTGGAAGTCCTTAAAGGAAAAGCAGGTGATATTTGCAGAGAGGGGAGGTCTGAAATATTCTCACCCTATAGGCACACATAGAAAAAACAAAGGAGACGATAACTATATGAGGTGGTGCGTGTGTTCATTAGCTTGGTTGTGGCAATTGACTCACA